GTCTCCTTTACCTCCTTCTGCTCTTCACCCCAAAGTTTTAGGTGCCAGTGTATTTGGAAAACTCTGTTGTCAGTCAGGAGAGCTGTCCAAAGCCAGTGCTTGGGGTGAACTTGGAGGACATTAACGTTAAGTGAAGTAAGTCAGGCACAGAAAGACAAATAGAAAGTGTTCTGCTTATATGTGAAAACTAAAAAAGTTCAGCTTATAGAAATAGTCAAATAGTGGTTACTAGAACCCAGAAGGGTATAGGAGAGGGAGATGATGGTTAAGGGGTACAGGAGTACAGTTGGATAAGAGGAATAACATCCAATTTGTGTGTGTGTGTGTGTGTGACAGGGATTTGAACTCAGGGCTTCATGCTTGCAAAGCAGGTGTTCTAGCACTTGAGCCACACTTCTGTTCATTTTTCCCTGGTTATTTTGGAGATGGGGGGGGTTATCTCTTGAACAATTTGCCTAAATTGTCCACATGTAATTGCATAGCCTTAAACTGCAATCCTCCTGATCTCAGTCTCCCAAGTAGCTATAATTACAGGTGTAAGCCACAGGCAGCCTGCTTGTCTAATGCTTTACAGCACAGTAGGATACTATTATTGACATTTAATTGTATGTCTCAAGTAGCTCGTAGAGAGGAGTTTGAATGTTTCCAACCCAAAGAAATGACAAATATTTGAAGCAATGAATATACTGATTGCCCTGATCTGATCATTACACATGGTATACACGCATTGAAATACCATACTGTACCCCATGCATGGTATAATTATCATGTCAATTACAAATTCATACATACACAAATAAAATTATATCTATACCATTATATAATATATATGTTATTTATATATTATATATACATGTATATATATTTAATCCAGTTCTTTTTCTCCGCAGATGGAATCTGAGCCCAAGTTCTCAGAGACTGACTCTGAGCCATTTTTAGCACCAAAGATTAGTCTGTCATCAGCAGAGGTGAGAAGAAGGAAGGGGATTTTAACCACTTTGTTGGCCACATTTTGATATCCCCACCACTGGAAATCATTTCTCTTTGTGCTTGAGACTTTTCCTATGTTTATCAATTTTTAGATAGTGAGTTGGGTCCCTTTGGAAATCATTCTTAACCCATTACAGTTAACTGCATGGCAAAGATCACATCCAGTCAGTGCTCACCATTTGTTTGGCTTTATTTTTCAGGACCCTGTTCGGTTAGGCAAAACCAGGAAATTTCTAGGCTGAGAAAGAAAAAAATCCCTTTGCCATTCTCTGGACTTCTTCTTTCCTTGCCCCAGAAACCAAAAGCAACCCTGAAAGTTCCAGATGCTGCAGTTTCAAGGTGGATCAGTCTCTGTTCCTGGGTCCCTCAAGGATTATATGAGGCAGACATGATGGTCATGAAATGGAAATGAGAAACAGACATGCGTGCTACACGTGTTATGCATGTCATCTGAGTGTAATCTAACAAACCACATTCAAGGTACATAGCTCTACAGTGTCTGAAAGTCTGTTTTGAATATGAATAAGGGAGGAACAACAAAAAATTATTCACATTGGTGAGTCAATGAAAAATGTGGTACAGCAGGCTCTTAAACTATAATCAATGTACTTTATGCATAAAACACCCTGTTTCACAACAATGCTGTCAATTAGGTAAGGAGTTCATTTTGTAGGAGGGGTAGGAGAACACACTGGCATTATGCTTCATCTCCCTAAACAATAAAAACCTAGAGACAAACTAATTCCAATCCAGCACGCTTTATTCTTTTTTTTTTAAATTTTACTTTTTCCTTTAATTTCCAATGATCAAGTATTCAAGATGTTGTAAACCAAGGTTTATTAGTCCACTGACAGTCAATTTCATTACACACAGGAAATTAATCATACATCTTTCAAATTACCCTAACACATTTCCAAATAAATATTCATTTTAAAAATCACAAAACCGAACTCCTTTTTGTAACAACTCAAAACAGCTTTTTGTCACAAGCACACCTCTGCACAGAAAAACACACACACACTGAACACACACTCCTCAGATCCTAATGCCAGTTTATTTGACACAGTATTACATTTGCTTACCCTACGAAGTTAGAGACTCACCTTCCAGATTCAGGTTTCTAAATTAAAATTTGGGGTTTTCAGTAGAGGTATGTATTTTTTAAAAAATGCCAACTATCAAGTCTTACCAATCATTATTTTTTTTTCATTTCTAGATAACAACTTTAAACTTCTTTTGTTCATACCTTTGGTTTAATAACATCCTTGCAATTATTTTAACTTTCAATAATGTTTTTCTCCTTTAATTTTGACATGAATAGTAGACTACTGGAAGAGACAATACTTTCAAAATCATAAACACATCTCACAGGAGTGTTAAGCTTTTTGGAGAAAGTATAAGAAAAGATTGTTTAAATAGTTGTATACCTCTTTCTGAAATTATTTTTAGCATCTGATTATTCTTGCCAAACTAAATATCAAAGCATTGAGTTTTCCACAGAAAAGTATTCCCCACCTCCTTATACTCGTCATTTTGCAGCCTAAAGTTCATGAATTAACTGTTGAAATGAGAGTAATGGGTGCTTGTTCTCTGGGAACAATTCCAGACTTCCAAATGCAAAGCACATGCAGCCCCTTACCAGTGAAATACTGTGAATTCAGTAGTGAACATGCATCATTAAATACTTTTAGCACCAAGGCATTGTTTTTAATGTTGCAAAAACAAACAGCTAAGGAGGGTTTTCATCATCACATCTGATCCTCCTTAGGGATGAGTAAAATCGAAGTGCTTAAAATAAAACCTCTTCAAACATACACAGATCTAATTCCAGAACAACAAAAAGTCTGGGACAGACACAGCCAGCAGCATCCTGGAAGATGAGGAGAAAGAAGACGGAAAAGATAAAGTGCACATGGCAACTAACTTTGCCTACCAGCCACACACTCTCCTACTGCGGAAGAGGAAACACACAGATGAAAGCTACCATTGGAATTCTGCCATCTAGGCCGTTCTGTGTTCTGTGTATTTGGTATCTGTCTGCTATTTAGAATAACTTAGTATGCACCTATTTATCAATAGTTACATTCATGTTCTGTGTCATCGATGATGTTTCAAGCACTCACACACAACTACAACATACAATTGGCCACCACCCTAGGCTCAGGCTTGTCTACTGCCCTTGGGGACACTCAGAATTTTCATAAATGCTTCAGGTCCATCCAGACTATGAAGCTTCCTGGTGCACAAAGTATTTCTACAAAACAGGCTGAGAGAGAGATTGAGAGAGAGAGAAGAATGAAAAGAAAGAGAAGGAAGGAAACTTTCTGGCTCTAAGTCCATCGAAGAATTCTAGCTAGAGTTGTGGACTAAATTCTCAGTGGTTGGTGAGAAAGTAGGATTACTGTCACCCCAAGAGCCAGCTCCAGGCAGCCACCTTCTCTGAGGACTGGCTCTTCTGAGGGCAGGCTGTAACTTCTTCTTGCAACCACTAAAGTTAACACTCGGAGCAGTGGTTTGGTATGCACTTTGTATATGTTCATTGCAAATCTTTATTAGGAACCTCAAAACTCATATTCACCAAAAACACCTAACAGAAATTTTAATATTCTGAAAGAAAAAAAATACCTGAACTGCTGAATCCTCAGATTCAACAAATCTGAAGTACCATTTTTCATAAAGACTCACTTCAGAAACTCTTCCAAGATTTGATTTTTTTAACATCAAAATTAGATATGTTCTAAATTAAATATGAGCTATAAATAAGAATTTGAGATATGTTATAATTTTAATCTTATACAATAAATGAAATTTACTTTGAAAATCTAGTCAAACATTAAATGTTAATGGTTCCTACAGATATTTCCTATAGGATTTTTTCTATTTACACAAAGAAATAAGAATGTCTCTATCCTTCAGAAACACTAATACATCAAATAATGAAGTACGTTAGCTTATTTTATAGTCCCATTCTTGCCTTTGTTAACTAAAACTACTGCCTGCATTGGATAGTGTAAAGATCAGTAATGGAACCAGAGTGGTCTACATCTGAACCCTGAACCCTGACTGTGCCATTCGTAACTAAATTAGCTTCTTTAACCTCTCTGAGCCTCAGGTACACGTCTGTTGTCTTCTTTTTTTTTTTTAAAGGAAGGAAGAAAGAAATTAAAGAAAGGAAGGAAGAAAAAAAAATGAGGGCTACAAGCGTAGCTCAGTGGTAACCACATGCTTAGCATGTGCAAGGGCCCAAGTTCAAGCCCCAACCACCAAAAAACTGTCTTTGCAAGTTATTAAGAGGATTAAAATGAATGATTATGTTAAGTGCTTAACAAACTGCTTTGCAAATAGTCAATAATCAATAAATACTAATTGTTTGTTTCCTTACTGCTTCTCCTTACTCCTCACCCCCAACACCATGATTCTGAATTACCTTGGACTGTTTTCAAGAATTAAATCCACCTAGGAGGAATAAGGATTTCATGCTAATGAAAATAACCAAAATAATCTGCTCCAATTCCCATCCCATGCCCTTGAGAGCTTTTAAATTAGTGGGCTGGACTCAAAGATATTATATTTGCATATTAAATTCAAATAATACATTAATTTACAGAACTCATAAAGAATCAAGATCACCTTTGCCAAAAAAAAAAAAAAAAGAAGTAATTCAAAGCCTCTGTGCAGGAGAGTGCCAATTAAAACTTCTAATATGAGCTGTGACTACAAAGTAACATGACAAAATCATTACAAACACAGACCTTATGTATATAATTAAATGGTATCATCCATACAGTAGCTACTTAGTTGGCTATGTAATATTTCATTGATGCTACCAGAGCATAAAGCAGTTTGGGAACAATTCTTGATTGGTACTCACCAACAACACATTAATGATACACCTGCTATTTGTAAGTTTCAGCAAGTACAATGTTAACATTGTTTTAGTATTTCAGGCTGATTTTTTTTTTTTTTTTTTTTAGTTCTGGCTTAGTTATTCCAAAGGATTTCAGGGAACAGCAGATGATAAGCAGGTATAATGGCATCTGACAGATAACTGCACATAGTCAGTGATTGCCGAACTGAATGACTGTTGAAAGGTGAGGGCTACTCACCCCTGGTAAGTATAACAACTTTTGTACCAAAACACAAAAATTGTTTTTGGAAAACAAAAGTGTCTCAATGCAGTAACTTAATGATCAGAGAAAAATAAAGAAAACACCACCCCTCCTTAACCTACATATCTTTAGCTCTAGATTTCCCACTGAGGAGAAAGAGGAATCCTGAGTCTCCAGCGCAGACTCCAGGCTAATCAGCAGTGCTTTCTGAAAACCTACACTTTATGCCATATTGACAAGAGCCTGACAGATATCAGGGCAATTACTATCTAAGCCAAGCTAGACTTCTCACCTCCATGATAGCCAAGCCTAGGGGCCAATGGGAAGTTCTTGTCATCTGACATATTAGCTCCACACTTGTAGACATTACTCACTCTAACAGTGATAACCTTCTCCACAAACTATACAACCAAGAGAATCATTTGACCAATGTCATTCCTCAATGGAGAAGAAAACAATCTTGTACTTAGGAATATTCACATGATTCCTCCTGTGCAGCCAAGCAATGATGGAGGCCAAAAGCCCAAATTATGGGCCAATCTGTCAACGGCCTCTGTTCTGTGGAAGAGTGAAAAACCAGGTGAGGAAACCATTTTCCAAGTCAGTCCTACCTAAGCATAGACTCCTTGGCAGAAACAGCTTACAGTTCTATTGGTATCAGGACCTTCTAGTCCTGTATGGCCAGATTCCACGAGTTACTGCCCATCAGACCATTAGAGCTTTCAGGAGGCATCTATTTTAAGACACATGAAGGCATCCTGATGGTACCTAGGTGATATGCTGGAAGGTTCTTTTAAAAAAATGACTGATATTGAACCCATAGTACATTTAGGAAAGGAAAAGTCCTCTTGGAATTCTTGTAGGAGGGATAAAAGCAGGGACACAAAGGGACCGTGAAATGACTCTAACTCTGATGAGGTAGGATTCAGTATGATAGGCTGGTTTATCTTAAATAATTTTTAATCATTATGTAAAATGGATCATATTCTGGGTCAGTTTACAGATCTTCCACCTCCTGTACTCAAAGTGATCTCATATCCTGGGTATCCTGTACTCAAAGTGATCTCATATCCTGACTACTCATTTTCTGGGACAACCACAGAAAAAAGAAAATAATACAGCTTTGCCAGTGATTTAAGGATATAACAAAAATGCTCAGGTGGGACTCCATCCTACCTCTGGAATTTCTTTTTCAAATACTGTGAATGTCAAGGTTACAAAGCTTAACTACTTTTTAGTGGGCCCTTCCCTAAAGAGCTTATGGAGTTTTGACAGCAATTTCTTTGGACGAGAAAGCCATCGGTGTCTTTCCTGATTATGCAACTCAAGTACTATTTCTAGTCATATTATTAAAGCCCCTATGAAAGAATGTTGGAGTTTATGTTCAAGATATCAGATGTATGATTCAGCAGCCTCTTTAACTACCTTCTGATGGGACAGACAGACTAAGACAGATGTGTCTTAGGAAATGATGCTCTTGTTCCTTCCACCACGCTATACATATGGTTCCTTTGAAGCATTTGAAAAGTTCTACCTGATTGATAACTCAGCCATGGCTTAAAATGCTACTAACAGTTCTTTAGCGAGTGGTCAACTTCCCCTTTTCAAAAACATACCTGCTTTGTTCCCTGAAAACAAAAGTAATATGCTGACCTTACATGTTTCCAATCAAATTGCATAGTTGAGGCAAATTCATTTGTGCTTTGTAGCAGAACTCAAAGTAGGTGCTTATATCTAAAAACTTTGAATGCAAAGTCAAGGTCAAGCTCACCTGTGTTTGGAGTGTATGCTAATGATATCTTGTTCACCAAGGACCTCAGCTTTCTACCACACTGGAGCATGAGCTTTCAATTAACATAGCAGAAATGGAAACAAATCTATCTAGACTCCTCCTTGGAGAGAAGAGGGCAAGGCTCTCTTGTTGAGGTACCCAGCCCTCAATCAGCAGTGGCTGTGTATACTGAGTTTTGTTGGTTTGAGGATTGTGTCTGCAGAGGTTAAAAAAAGAAAGAAAAGAAGGCACGGGTGTTTCTCAAGTCGCCATATTCAACTCAACCAACAGAACAAGTCTTCCTTTTTCAAGCTTCAGGAGGAATGTTATATGGCATCAGGACTCTCTTCCAGACCCGGATCTACGGAGGAACTTATTGCTTCTGGGAAGGGCCCTGAATAGGTCTGTGCTGTGTATGGAATCCCTTTTTGCTGACCACTTTCTTCGTGGAATTCTCCCTGGGTGCTGAAGGCTGGGCATGATCTAGTCCGGTTATATTTCTCAGTTTTGTCAGGCCGGCCCACTACCTGGCTCACAGTGCTCAGAGGCAAGTCTCGGTGCCTCTGCCGCTGCAGTTCACCCTCCTTGGATTTTATAGAGTACCAGGCCAGAAAAATAAAGATGAAGCCGACAAATTTTAGGCCAGCAGCCAAACCAAAGTAGACGAAACGAAATGATGTCACGTTATACTCCCAGCAAGAGCCTTGCACTCCACATTCCTGTTGCCACAGCATGCAGGTGGTGTCAATAACTGCTCCGAAGTAAATAGGAGTAGGAATGTATGCTACAGTTTTGGAAAGAAACATATAAGGGGTGAGCACATCCTAGAAGAGAATTCGCACTTGTAAATTAGCATGGTAATTGTTTGCTCAAACACCGGTTGACAGGAGTGATTTTCATGTGGTACCTGACACTTTTTTTTTAAAGAGGTCATCATTCTCTCACAATTTCTTTATTATAAAAACATTCACTAAATGATAAGTATTTAAAATTTTCTAGTTTGCAACTCAGAATGTGTTCCCTGATTTTTTAGGATCCTAAAAATGTCTATTGTTTATATGTATATCAAATCCTCACATTGTATACTTTTGATACGACCTTGTCAATTATACCTCAGTAAAGTTGGGGCAAAATGTCTACTGCCAAAAATACAACTACAGAACCCTTTTAAAATTAAAAATTGGATTTTACATTAAATACTTCAGAGGCTACACTACAGCTCTCTCTCATCGACCAGAATTCAGTACACTTAATTCTTGCCGTTGGGTCCTAGTCTTTGAATGCAGGAAGAGAAGGAGGAAAGCATTGTCTCCTTATGGGAGAGACACCACATCAGACACCAAAGGCACTTGGTGCAGGGAAACAATCATAGCATATAGTTCATCTTTGAAGCTTATGACACATTTAGATGAGTAGAAGCTTTGTTGTTTGAGCTATGATGCAGACATTTCTTTTAATCCCACAAGAAAGAAAGTCTACCCAGTAGAATTCCTTCATCCTTTGCCAAAATGTACCCCCACCCTCAACTCCTCCACCTGGCAAGTATCTACCCCCTTTTTAAGTTCCTGACTCACTTGAAAGACACAGTACTCCCATTGTGTTTCACCTCCACTTTAGTAAGTCACTTAGTATATACTTAAACCATTTGCCATCTGTCACCCAATAAGGTCTTTGATGACAGAGCCTATGCCTTTTATGCTTTTCATCTCAAGGACCTATCACGACAGCCCTTGGGTCCTCAGTAAGAGTGCATGGAATGAAGAGCAGTGCAGGGGTGGGGGAAGCAAGGGAGGAAGAAAAGAGGGACAGGAGAAAGAAGGGAGGAGGAAAAGAGGATGCAGAAGGCTATAGTGATGCATTTTTAAATAACTTGCATTTATCTGAAATGAGGTTTATAGCTATAATTAAATTTTACATTACTAAAGTACTAAATTATTTTGCTTTGCAAATGGAAATGAACTGGTGAGCTTACTAACACTTTTTTTTAAACAAACAGCAGAAATTGAATAAAGTTGAACTGAACAATAATTGCCTCATTTATCCTCCTTCCACTTATTCCTGATACTGCAGCTTACATCTGTTGATTTATCTTTATCCATAAATCTGTATCAAATGCCCTAACTCTATGTCAGGAAGGGTAGAGCAAAAAGAAGAAATTTTTTTCTTTTCCTATTCATCATCATCTTAGTTAACAAATTTCCATCTTTGAAAATAACACTTTTTAGTTTTCAGCCAAGAGTAAGGCAAAGTTTGTAACTATATGTAAGCATATCAGAATTTCCCTGAAATAGCATCCTTTTATTTATTTATTGGTTGATTTATTTATTTATATATGTATGTATATATGTTTTATTATTGTTGTATTGGGAGTACACTGTAACATTTACAAAAGTTCTTATAATATATTGTAGTTGAATTCACCCCCTCCATCATTCTCCTTTATTCCCCCTAACAGCATGCTTTTAAAAACAGTACCTTCATCACTTCTCAGCCTTCTGGCTAGGATCAAGTGCAAAAACAGTATGGCTGAGATCGGGAGGAACAGGGTCCAGTGGCAATCCAGACAAATGGTTCCTGAGACCCCATCTCCAAAATAACCAGAGCAAAATGGACTAGAGGTTTGACTCAAGTGATAGAACACCTGTTTTGTGAACGTAATGCCTTGAGTTCAAACTCTGGTCCCATCAAAAAGGAAAAAAAAAGTTTATTGGAAAGTGCTTCTTCTTAGAATGGCCATCCATACTAACATATGGCAAACAAAATTCAAGAGAGGATTAATGTTTCAAATAGGATGTTGCCGTTTAAAGTATTTTACCCTTCAAAACTGAATTTTAATTTCAAAAATGTTTTTTTTTGTACTATGGATAATAGTTCTGATTACAAGGAGAAAAATACCAGCTGAAGAAAATGACAAACTGCCACTTAAGAAGGAAAAAATAAGCCTAATGATGAGGAAGTCAATTAACAATATATCAAAATTGATCAAGGCAATGATATGCTATTTCCCATTCATTGTCCCAAGACTTCTTGGGTGATGCGGTGTTTGTGAGAATGATTCTTCCTGTCCTCTGTTCACAGTGACACAGGACTAATGAGCTTTCCTTGCTAATGGGTGGTCTTTATGACAGTCAATGCGTGTGCCTTTGGGGATCTTTTTGTTCTTTTTAGACTTTTTTTCTTCCTTAGAAAACTTGATAGTTATTTTTTCACTCAGTTCAATAAAATTATTACAAAGAAGTAAGAAATTGAAAATTTCATAAGTAAAATGAGTTCTGATTTCTCTTGCTTTCATGTTAAAAGGTATAAAGGAACCAAAATGCCACAAAAACAAACTTACTACAAAATTCTCAATCTCATATTTCTTACAGTACAACTCTGGAGAGTTATGCCTAAGTTTATGTCCACAGTCAAAAGAAACTACCCTAAAGCTGGTTTTGTTTTGTTTCATCAAGGGAACTTGTCAGCTTTTAGTTCAAATCAGAAAATAAAGAAGTGTGCCTTTACCAGAAACCTGTATAATCCTAGCCTCAAATGCGAACAAATGACATGGCTTGACATTTCTAAAGGACAGTGAGCATTTACCAGCTGCAAAGAGGAACTAAGAGACAACCTTGGAAATCCTGGAACCTACCAAGTGTTCGCAACAAAACAAACTGCATTCCCAGAGCAAAAGGTCTCTCCTCCTCTCCCACGGACCTGCAGTGAAGGGAAAGAAAGAAAGGTTTTTAAAGAGTGGCCCCAAGGAAATAGATGTCAAAGCAAGCCTGCTTCATAAGGGGCCAGGAACACACAGGATGCTAAAATGTTTAGTTCACTAGAATTTACTAATAGCCAAGCAAGGTTTTTGCTGGTAAATCACAGGGTAGAGATCTCCCCAGTGAAGACACCAAAGAAATCCCTGTTAACTCTATTTCTATGTCAATATTGGTGGCATGTCAAGGCCCTTGGCTGAAGCAGCAAAAGCAGCTCTAACTAGGCTTTCAAAGTCAGTTCTAGTTTTTAAAAGAATCATAAAATTTTAACCTAAATTCTGCATTCTCCTTCTCTGTTTGCCTGCACTTTCCAGAATGGTGGATGTGTCCAGTGAAAAAAATCACTCCCGTAATTCCTTCAGGGTAGGAAAGAGAGTAAAAAGACAAAACCAAAAACTGTAGCCTCCAAACGTGGAAAAGAAAATAAGTCAAAATGAGAGGAAAAAATGTGCTCCTCCCAACTATACTTTTTCTTTTCCTTTTCCTAAAATTTATGTTTTAAGTAATTCCCATTTGGAAGGAAGATTAGAGCTTAATGATTCTGTAGTTAAAGAAATTGAAAGACTCCTTTTTTTTGACACCTGGGTTAGAAGCCAACAGTGAATTACCATGTTTGAATACTTGTAAAAATGAGTCCCCCTTTTGTGGTTTTTAAAACATCTATTCTATAATTAAAGTGCAAAGAATTATTTAGGTGAGTAAACTTACTAATGATTCATATAAGTTTTAAATGGTAAAGTAACTTATCCTTTTTATCCCATACCCATAAGGTTCTAGGTATACAATGGAACACTTCCAAGGACCAGAGTCCTTGCCTCCTTCCCCCAAATTCTTTATATTTCATAGGAATTTGCCCAGTTCTGCACACATGGTTGTTACTCCAGAAATATCTGCTGATGGAGGAATGAAGAGAACCTTCTAGGTGCTTCTATCTCATAATCAATGGCACTTTGCTAAGGAATGGCTATCTCTGCATCCCATAGGAGCCAGGATATGTGTGGTGCAGCCCACCCAGCCTCACCAAGCAGGCATCGCAGAAGGGGTCCAACACCATGGGGGCCTGAGGAGCCAGAAGGAAGAACAGGATTCCCTCCCTTTCTCATTGTACCATACCCCTGCTCCCCCTAAAGCCAATGTGGCTCCCTTCCTTCCTCTGTCCACTGCAGTCTTTATCGGCAATACCAGCACATTGATTTGAATGTGCCAGCATCAACACTTTTAAAGAATAAAAGTAGCTTCCCTGTCTTATAAACAGACAAGCAAAAACCCCACCAGGATATATAATACAGAGAAGAAAGTGCAGCCTGAACCACTGAAAAATCACATTTCCCAGTCTTTCTTTTCTTTGATTCAATTCCCAAACTTTATATGACAAAAAAGCTAATGCAGGCCCACCATAAGTTGTTGCTAATACTGGAGGTATGGTGCTAACCACAGTGGCTTTTGTGGTATGCACAATTTTGCCACTATCCAAATTACTTCCTGCCTTCTCTGGGTTCTGGCTTCTCGGAGCTAACACAGGGTGGCTTTCAACTCCTGAAGCTGAACCTTGTAGGGCAGAGACTTCAGCAATCAAAGGCAACCAAAAAGAAGTTTCATAAAATAATAGCGCTAGAACCCAACTGAAAAAGTTCTTGAATATGAAATGTTACAACTTTCCTTTCCTGACATGGAAAGACACTTCCTTTAAGTCACCAGGCAAATGTCTGGGCACTCTCCTGCATGATCTGATCTTGTTGTCCTCCCTGCTTTGCTGCATTTTCCCTTGTCCTGGACTATGCGATGCAGGCTGGTCATGCTTGGCAGGTTGCCTACCTCAGTGGCTGAATGCTGCTCTCACCTGAGAGTTACTATGATGGCTGAAGGTTGGGCACATGCCGTGATGAAGGTGACTATGAAAAGAAAAACTAAGAATGGGATAAGGGTATTGCATGTCCGTTTACACCTTCCTGACAGCGCATAGCCATTCTCATTGAGATAAGTCTTGACAATCACCACGCGGAGCTGACTGCGCTGCCCAGCTGTGGGTGGAGTGATCACTTGTCGACTTTGGACGCAGGTGCATTCTGTATAATTCCGAATCTGAGTGAGCAAAATAAAGATAGCGTATATGCCAGTCAATATTAAGATAAAGAATAAAATGCTCTAAAAAAACTCTAGTATTTTAAAAATGCAAGATATGCACTGAGAACACCTTCCTCATGACAGTAATAAAGGGTTAAAGTGTGTGTCTGACAGTACCAAAGTCTGCTGGTCAAAGTGTTTTTTTTGTTTTTGTTTTTTAATTTTACAGAAGATTTTATTTTATTCATTTATTTTTTGCAGTACTGGGGCTTGAACTCAGGGCCTTCACCTTGAGCCACTCCAGCAGCCCTATTTTTGTGAAGGGTTTTTCAAGATAGTGTCTCTTGAACATTTTACCTGGGCTGGCTTCAAACCTCAATCCTCTGATCTCTGCCTCCTGAGTAGCTAGGGTTACAGGCATGAACCACCAGCATCTGGCTTCATTTTAAAATTTTCATATTATTGCTGTACTAGGGGTACATTGTGACATTTACAAAAGTTCTTATAATATTTCGTAGTTGAATTAATCTCCTCCATCCTCCTTTATTCCTCTTCTTCTCCCATTCTTGGTATAGTTTCTTGCAAAATGGTTTAAAACTAAACTTTTTCCAAGAAACTTCCAACTCATATTTCTATGACATTCACCTTCTAAATCAGTTGCTACTGAACTCTGGCACTCTCCAATTATAGAAGCCCCACAAAACAGGGGCTCAGCCTGATTTTTATTTTTGTTCACCAGAAATACCTAGCACATCCTTAAGCACCCAGTGGGTCCTAAAATTGATGTCTATTAAGTAGATTCATAATGCAAAAATGATGACATCGTGCCATGATAGTGACTTCTCATTGCCACTCCCTTAATTAGCTGGCAATCTCCACTCTGTGAATAAATAATACATTCCATGGATGTCACTTTCATCTGGTGATTACTGTCCCTGCCCAATACTGCTCCTGGACTCTGAGAGAATCTAGCTGTCAGGAAACACTGCTGAGCAAAAAAAATCACTAGTCGGTTTTTCCAACAAATATCTGAATCCCTGCTGATTTATCAGGTGCCATTTGGAAGGGGCTGAAAATACAGAGGTGCAAAAGAAACCAAATCTTCTCTGATAACTGCCAAAATTTTGACTGAAAGCAAAAACAAAAGTGAAAAATGAAACTTTATTGGGTGATACTTATACACCAAAATAAACCCACAAATGTTAAAAACTACTTTTGTGTATAATGTTGCTTTTTCTTTTTTTGAATGGGAATTAGCTGAACTAGTTCTCAGGGTGACCACTTAGAGCAGGAGTAAAGCTGAGGTGCTATTTGGTCATCTATGCTCAAAAGATTGCTGTTCTAAAAAAAAATGAGCACTGTGCCCCAGATGACTCGCTCATTCCCCAGAGAGAATTTGGCCACTGAGAAGAACAGATCTCGTGATCTCTTTCAACATGGTCATGTACTGGAACTCACCAATTGTATAATGGGCAATCAGCAACAGGAATGCTCAATTTATCACTCTAGTTTCAAACTCAGAAATCAAAAATGGCATCCCCCCAAATTCAGTCAATGGTATAATCCCTTATCACCTGTACACACAAGCAAATGTGTTTTAGCCTTTTAATTAAAGCAACTGCCTACAATTTGTTCTTATGCAAAGAGTCAAACCAGTCTCAATAAAGAATGGAGTAAACTGTGAAAACCTTCTCTCACAGTATTACAGCCTACTTATAATTCACAGGGAAGGGAATTCTCAAAATAGCCTATTCTTGAATGACAGAAATAGTTTTACTCTGAAAGTTAAAAAAAGTCTGAACTGAAATGATAGTCTATGAAAAATGGGCATTGCCCATCTTTCAGACTCCTGTCAGGGGAGTGCTCTCCTAGTCCTCTGTCGGCACCAACTGTGGTCATCTTAACCTTCAAATCGTTTACAAGGCCCTGTCGGGGCACAAGTGGAAGGCTCAACCGTATCAAGTTTCACTGAGTTGGCATGAAATGTAAAGTAGAAGAGGGTGGATGAAGAACCAAATTTCATCCCTGGAAAGATTGACAGCACTGCATAGCTTTCTTTCTGCTAGGTATTTGTCAGAGGGAGCTATCTGCAGCCTCTTGAAAAGGGAGGCCAAAGTCATTGGGGCTGCATCTGAATCCTATTCTGTCCTTGTCGCAGCATGTTGGATAAACCACAGAAGAGGAATTTATGAAATATACTCACCCCAGTGCTAAGATTACCACTATTAACACAGCCGGCCAGACAAGGGTTAAAATAGGTAATTCCATCTGATCCACAGACTGGCTCATACTCGTGTATTTTACAACCACAATTCACATTGCAGCTTCCTGTCAGGTTCCTATGGGGCATGGTCAGGGAAGGTCTAAGAGAGGAAAGAGGCAAACGTGAGCAGCATGTGTTAAAATGAAACTGAGAGGAAGGTTTTTGATATTTAGCAACTTGTCCGTTTTAGAGAGGATATTCCCATTAATCAAAACTATGGTGCATGAAGTAGTCACCTCCATAATTACTTTTATGACTTTAAAACAAAATGAAGAAGAAGGTTTCAGCGTTCTGTACTACAGAATCAATACTTTTTTTTTTTAATCAAATTACCTGTCATGTTTCAATTTTACCCTCCATTTTGAGTCTCTGGATCTGATCTCATGTCTGGATTCAGATAACTGTTCACTTACTGCCAGCACCTGGCTGGATGTGCTAGCAACTCTGGGCTCAGCAACTTTTTTATAACTCCTCACTTTTTCTCACTTATATAACTGTGAGCACTTGGCTCTATGTTTTAGCAAATTTGGGATATTTTACTTTATGGGGTGCTGGGGATTGAACCCAATACTTTCTACATGCTAAGCACTTACTATACCACTAAGCCAAACCCTCAGATCTAATTGATTTTTTTTAGTGGGACTGGGATTTGAACTCAGGGCTTCATGCTTGCAAAGTAGGTGCTCTACTATTTGAGCCACACTTTCAGTCCATTTTGCTCTGGTTATTTTGGAGATGGGGTCTTGAGAACTATTTGCCTGGACTGGCCTCAAACTGTAATCCTCCCGATCTTAGCCTCCTAAGTTGCTAGGCTTACAGGCATGAGTCACCAGTGCTAGATTAACTGATTTTTTATTGATATGGAATGATTGTGCAAATGCAGTATGGCATGCTATCTTAATGTATGTATATATTGTATAATGATCAAATCAGCATAATCAGCATATCCTCACTTATCAAAATTTTAAACTATAAAATAGAGAAAATAACTTTCAGTACCAAATGAATAACATCATTGTAAGTCTGTAAACACAAATTTCACCAATCCCAGTTATCAATATAGGATTCTTAGACTAAAAGCTTTGCTTGTTCTAGGATAACTTATCAAAGAGAGCGACAGACTCTAGAACATCAAAAGGAAGTGATTTTCAAAGTGACTGATCAGGAGTCCCATTACTAGTTTCATTCAAACAACTAAAGAAGAAAGATTAAGCAGTTTTTCATTCAGGAACGCCCAGACATAGATTCACAATCAAACATAGTGGGTTTGTTTTCCCAGGAGACCATGGTGTGACACAAAGAAAAGGTACAACATGAAAAGCTCTCAGGAAATCAAGTCAGGCAACAAAGGAAAGTAAGGATACAAGGCTGGAAATAGAGGGGCAAAATGGCAATGAAGATCAGAGGCAGGCAGACACGCAGGGGGACTCAATAAAGAACAAAGGTGACTCCATAAAGTGACTCATGTTTTCATCATCATGTCACTGTTTTTATGTACTGCTGACAAATACTGTTCCTAAAGCTAAATCTAAGGCATCTCCTTCATTCTTCCATCTACGTATACATTATTCATCCATTTGACAAATATTTGGGAATGGGCCGGGTCTGGTGGTGCACGTCTGTAATCCCAGCTACTCAGGAGACAGAGGTAACAAAATTATGGTCCAGCCCAGGCAAAAGTGCAAGACCTTATCTGAAAAATAAACTAAAGCAAAAAGGACTGGGGGCATGGCTCAAGAGGTAGAATGCTTGCCTAGCAAGTGTGAGGCCCTGAGTTCAAACCTCAGTATGGCAAAAAAAGAAAAATGAAATTAGAGAGAATGCCTTGTTATGTGCCAGAAATTATCTTCAAAGACTATGTTGTTACCACGTATCCAGTAGCAGAGCCCAATCATATGTTTCATCTATAATTTTAGTAGGTTGTTTGTTCCAAGGCCCTGTGGCCTCTTTCACACTTCCATAATTGAGTCCTCAAGTTCAATGGCAGAAACAAATTCAAAGCAATATCAAAGTCCTTCCTAGAAAAGACTTCTAGAAAGCCTTCCAAAGTCATCAATGGTGGCTCATTCCTGCAATTCCAGCATTTTGGAGGCTGGTCTCAGGAGGATGGAGAGTTCGAGGACAGCCTAGTCTACCTTGTCTCAAAAAGATAAAAAAAGAGAAAAAGAAAAAAAGAAATCCTCTAACAAGGCAAAAGTCAAATACATTCTGTTCTTCATCCATGTCACCTCCCAGAAAAAAATTATCAGAAGGTTAATCAATTATGTTCACAAACTCTTAATATCAAAACACTTTCAGTAATTCCAGACCAGAAGTTCTCAACTGGGGTGACTTTGTCCCTCAGGGAATATTTGGCAATGTCAGGACAGTCTTGATTGTCACAACTAAGAGTTCTGCTGGCACCTGGAAGGGCAGGGCTCAGAAGGGTGCTCGATATCACACAGTGCAGAGGACAGCCCCTGTTGCCCACAGCAGAGAATCACCTGGCCCAAACGTCAACAGCACTGAGGATGAGACCTCAGGCCAAATAACTCATTCTAGACTAACCGCCACAGTCTACACAAGATGAAATGATGAAATGCAGGGTCACAGAAGCTGATTAATGTCACATGAACTGCTACTGTATGAAAAGTACTCAGTGTGTACCAGTGTTCTCTTTACCAGTGCTACAGTACCTGAAGTCCAAGCAGTAGCCACATAAAAAGGCTTTATTGTGTTTGCACTTAGTCACTAAAACTGACAGGCTTCAGTAGTACACCAACAGTTATCACTGCTGCCATCTAGAAGTCAGTTGGCATTTCTATTCATAGTATGCTCTACCTTCATCTATGACAGCCACAGAGTCCAAATGCCTGTCATTTAAGAGTACATCCATCCAAAAGGAAGGAGCCTAAGGAAAACATCAACAGATGCTCAAATCCCACTGACTACTGGCAGACAAAGGCTTAACTGAATTCAGTAAACAGGCACAGTGTCAGGTCACCCTTGGATATGTCTGCTTTTCTCATGAGACCATGGTGTCTAATACAGAGAAAAGCTATGATATGAAATACTCGCAGAAAGTCAGCTTGGGCAAGAAATACAAATAGCAATGAAAGGAAATGTGCATTCATGAAAAAGTCATTGGAGAAAAGACAACAGTAGCACAAAGAGAAAGTTGCTAACATGGTTCATCCCTCACAGTGTCGATTAAAAAGGAAATAATTTTAAAGAAAATACCATCTTATTTGTCATTCACTCTTCAGACAAGAGACTGGATTCTCCTATGCAAGTACTCACCCAGCCTGACCTTGCTTAATTTCCAAGAAGAGATGAGCTTGGGTATGTACAAGGTGGTATGGCTGCAGACGAGACTGGATTCTAACCGTAGTACAGTGTCTAAACCTGACTAGCACTAATTAATCTCTCATAGGCCAGAAATGAACCCATGATGGGAACATAAAATGCACAAGGACACTTACTGTGAACTGAACTTATCCTTGTGCAAAGGGACCATGAACCACCTTTCCAAAAAAGAAAGCACTTTTGGCAAGATGGCCTTCCAAATGAGATATTCATACTAGCTCATGAATCAAAAAAAATGTTAATACCGAGTGAAGTGCAAGGCTTGATTTTCATGTGCAAGGCTTGATTTTCACTAGCAAATACTTATAACTGTGTGGTCCAAACTGCTAGCAAGATATCCTGGTTACACCTAATATCTTCCTGCAAAAATCATGGAATTTAGAGCTAGAAACATGGAAGGAGTCTCTGAGACTAGCTAGTAGCCTGCTGACTTTCAAGAACAGGAAACTCTGAGGTGTAATGGCATGAACCATAATCACTGAGGCCTTAAGAAAACCAGCCCCGGGGAAACAACAACCAAAAAGGGAATAAGAAGAAAACATAACAGCTGTGTTACCTGACCTTTATTTAATCAGATACTTAAGGAGCAATATTTATTTTAAATGATATCTAATGACAAAACAGATATTGTTAATATAAGTTTTTAAAAAAAAAAAAAAAACCCAAACCTCTGCTATAGGAGGCATTACAGCTGGGTATGTAAGAACACGATTGCCCTCAATGCACACACACACACACACACACCAGCAACCGTGCTCCATCACTATACCCCAAATTCACAAATGCTGTGCTCAAGTCACATAGATTAAAGGAATTATGATTCACATGTCAAAAACCTGTCGAGTAACACGCACTAAGCAATTAGAAAAACTTGGTTTCTTCCTCATAATTTCTTATTAATCTTTATCAATTTAATCTCAGTCCTCAAGAAAACTTCAATTAGAAGTTTCTTTCAACTTCACTTACATTTTTGGTTTCATATTAAAATCCTTCCTTGGCTATATATAGCTGTGTAACTTCAGGTTTCTAATTATTATTACCATGCTCATAGTCATCATTATTATTTAAAACTAACATTACTGGAGCCCTATTTATTTATTTCTTTATTTTTGGTGGTCCTGGGGTTTAAATGCAGGGCCTCGCACTTGCTAGGCAGGTGCTCAACCACTTAAGTCATGTCCCCAGTCCTTTCTCAGAGCCTTATTTTTACTCCATGTACTGAGATCTCTGTATGTTATCTCATTCATTCCTCATAAGAATTATAATGATTATTGCTGTTCACAAAAGACTTGAAGATTTGAAAGGGTAGGTATTACCCAAGTCACACAGCTAAGTCAAAGTCAGAAATGGATTTAAATCCAGTTTTATCTGTCTCCATAGAGTGTCGCCTTAAACCTCTACATGAGGAGGGCTTTCCATAGTTTTGCTTTCTCCAGAACAAGTCATCTGAGTGGCTCATCCTCCTTTCTTTTTCCTGGAGAAAGATAGTGCAGCCTCCCTGACACTCAGCATACAATGATCCTGGATATTAAATTGGAAAGACCTAAATTAGCTTCCATCTTCAAATTTACAAGGGCTGTGAACTTTAGAGTGTATGTTTGTAAAATGTCTGTATTACATGCAGGGTTGCTGGGGGCCTTGATGACTAAACACACGTCCAGTGCCAGCACTGTGCCTAGGACACACAGGCTCCAAGACAATGGCTTGTTATGTGGAAGAAGTCTTAGTGAATACCAGTGACGCAATCACAAAATG